GAGGGAATTTCACAAAATTGTTGCGAAAGGGTTGTTAAACATGCATATGTAAAATGAACAGGAGTTTTTTTCTTTTTTTTTTGCGCAAGTCTGTTTAAAAAATCATGCATTTGTTGTAAAGTTTTTTTTTTTTCGCTTCCTTTTTTTTTTTTCCTTTTTTTTATAATTTTCCTGGGAGCAAAAATTTGGGCACTTTCTGTCCTATGGGGATAATTGTTTCCTTGACTCTGCGTGAGGAGTCTGCTGCTCTTTTCTAGGTGACTTCTTCTGGATCCACTGTTTCGTTAAATGGGTGGCGCATTTGCGGTTTGACCAGTTAGGGGTAACCATTTGAAGGGTTAATCATTTAGCCGGTTAACCTGTTAGCATGTGCAAGAATAAAAAGATCTTGTGTACGGCTAGGTCATTTCTTCACCTTATTTCACATTACTTCGCAACCTCGACGTTAATTCCTTTAGCACAGTTCAATATACACACGAGAATAAACAATTAGACATTTCCCCGCGAAGGGGAAAAAAGAAATAAAAAAAAAAAAATATGCAAACCAGAAAAATTCGAAAGTACCGCACACGCAGGATTATTGCGCGTACGTAGTAACATGCACGAATATACACCCGCACGTTAGAACATCCGTGTACACGACTTGTACGTAGTTAAACTTATCCCTAGTACACAGTTACAATTTTTTTTTAGTGAAGCGCTGTATGATGCAGATCGAAATAGTTACAACTGCGAAAAGATCTATTCGACTTTCCCTCAAATCTTCCGCTCGCAATGGTTGACATAAGGCCGTAAAAAATAATTATTACAAAATAGGAATTTTAATTTGTCGTAGGATCACTGTTATTATGGAAAAAATGAATGAAAAAAAAATGTAAACATGGTATTTCGCGGGGGGATGTACGCGTAGATGAATTTGCGTTGTGAGTTCCTTTCCGTTTTGTATTTATATTTTTTAATCACATTTTTTAACTAAATTTTTTAACTACATTTTTTAACTAAATTTTTTAAATACATTTTTTAACTACAATTGTTAAGTACATTTCTTAACTACATTTCTTAACTACATTTTTTTTCCACCTGTTTGCTCCTTCATTTTTACATTCACATCAAACATGCATGTGCGGAAAAAAGCAATTGCTTGCACGTGCATATTAGAACTATTGGCGGAACAATTTTTCCCTTCAGGGAAGTGAGCATGTAACTCTATGTTCTGTCTTTTACATGCAGCTAAATCGGAACGGGTCCTGTTCTACCCCTTGGTAATGTTGGACATTTTGCCTCCTTGTCCACAACATTCTCTGCGCTAAGTTTCCACCCGCATACGTTATTTTACAACCTTTTTGTGCTACCGTTCCTTTTTTTTTTTTTTTTTTTTTTTTTTTTATTACCACCCCTTTCACTTCGCTTTTATCATATCCACAAATTAAAAAAAAAAAATTAATTTCTTTTTTTCATACGCGCATAACCCCACTAGATGCATCTATACGTACGTATACAAACATACTTATGGCTGATATCTCCCTGTGTAGACGCACTTTGCTCTAGAGCAGGGGCACATGCATACGTATAAATATGCCTAATCCGTATCGTCCTTATGCGTTTATTTGTGCAGGTTTTTCCGTTGTAACCGAGTCGCACCCATAGAATTGTTTCACCTTCCGTTTGGCACAATTAGTACAGTCTGAACAGATGGCACATTCCGTTCACTTACTTTCACCTGATGACACCTGCGGGTTACGGCACCAACTGGTCGGCGTGTGCCATTCTATTTCTGCTGTTTTTTTCCTAAAATAGGAAAAGAAACCGACCCAATAGTACATATCCCCCTCCACGTTCACCTAAATATACATGTGAATTTATTTTTTTACGCACATTTTTTCCCTATCACTAAGAAGGAAAGCCATTATTTTTGCGTTCACTCCTTTGGAGTACACCCTCGAAACTTTTCAGACGCCGACATTAAAAGAAAGAAAAAAAAAATTCTCAGTTGCATTGTTACAACTTCCAGTAGATATCTTCGTTTGTGCTCTGCACATGTCGCAACATGTACAGTGAAAATTTTATTTGGTTTAAAATTATTCTTTAATATTAATTCACTCGTTTGAGTGGTCACTGATTGTTTCATTTACCACCGCGGGCATATGCATATTTGGCACATGATAATACCAAATATTACGAGTCCACCGTTTTCGCGCTCACTGCGCACCATTGACATACGCATGAAAGAAATTTCAATACGTGGCACCTGTTATCATCCAGTACCCAGTGTAAAAAAGTGGAAAAGGAGCTGAATGAGGGTCAAACAAAGGGAAAAGAATTATACAAAAGAAAGCGAAATAGAGAAGCAAAAAGTTCGCAGGGAATGGCACATAACGCCAATAACCTCTTTCGCAAAAATATTGCATTTTTGTGCTAAAATGTATTAATTTTTGCGTATTCTACTATATCAATAATAAAAAAAAAATACATGCATAGGGTGTGCTTCCTCCCTGGAGTCGTTTTCTCCTAACACAAGTGTTAATACATATGTAGCACCCTTTTTTATATCGTCGTTCCGCACAATTTGCAATTTTTGAGCGTTCCTTCATTGGATCAAGGACGCAAAAGCTAAAAAGAAATTTAAATTGACAAAATGCGGAACGGCATACCGCGAATTTGACCAGCGCAATTTTTTTCCCGAAGAATACTCGTGCACATGGGAATAGCACATTGGGAAAAATGCCGGAACAAGTAATATCGCGTAGTAAATAAGGAAAAAAATGCCAGACGAATATAACGCCAAAGAATTACGATCCAACTGTCAAGCGAGAACAGGTTAAAAGGTACAGTTGACAATGCTGCCGTCAACAGGAATAAACACATGCACCTAGGCGAGAAAAACGAATGCAAGAAAAATACCGCCCAAGGAAACATGTTAGGCCCCAAGTATGTTCTAAAACTGTATCGATCCAATTGGAACGTCTAAGGCGCATTGAATTTTCAATGTGAAATGTTTTTTATTATGGACGAACCAAAAGGTGATAACTTTTGGGGATCATAGTAAAGGGTTAATTCTGCGAAAATGCATACCTTAATTTCACGCGGTTTTCAGGAGGGAGAAAACGAGTAATCCCCCAAATTTCTTCTTCATTGTGATTAAAAAAATGGAAAACATTTTAGCAAAATGGAAAGGGGAAGAAAAAAGCTTCGCATTTTTTGAATTCATCTTCTATGAAAGCATTTTTATGGGTGTACTTATTTACACACACATGTATGTGTCAATCAATTTGTTCTATTTCTCTCTGCGTATCTTCCCATCTCATACTTTATTCCTCGCCTCAGGTGCGCAAACGAGCCATTTCCAATTTGTTGCCAAAAAATTATATAAGCAGTTTTGGCTATTTTTTTTTTTTTTTCCAAATCGCCAAAAATGCCATTTATCCAAATAAAAGTATGAACAGGCAAGGTAAATTTTCAATTTTATGTATCCCCATCACAGCTAGTTCAAAAAGTGTGTATTTCTGCCACACCGGGTTGGCAAAAAAGGCAAGGATTAACAAGTGCAGCTTTGTGTGTATGGTCACATCTAAATGCCTTTTTTCTTGTCCCCGAATTGGGGCAAAAACGAGGGGTTAGCTCTGGGGGAAATGTAATCGTGTGTGCCTAGCTACACCGTCTGA